ACGTCGCACTCGATGATGCCGGCGCCCATGCGCGCCGCCGCGAGGTACGACTCCTTCGAGTGCTCGGGGAACATGAGGCACGCGCCGCGGTGGCCGATCGAGTACTCGGTGCGTTCCCACTTGTTGTCAGCGCACGACTCGAGCTGCGTCTTGAGCGGGCTCGGGCGCATCTCGTTGACGAGAAAGTACGGACGCTCACCGACGTCGACGCGGGCAGCAGAGGTGGCAGCGACGACCGCCGTGGCCAAGGTGAAGCGAAGAGCCATACTCGTACTCGTGTCGGGATATCACGCAAAAGGCAAACTGAGGCCGACATTGGTTTTTACAAAAAAATACTACGGTAGCTGTTGACTTCATCCTTCATGAACGCACGACGGCTCGTGCAACGGGACAGGCGGCAGCGTGCAACGGACGGCCCGCAGTGTTCGCACCCATCCTGCACCCTACTCAAACCAAGATAATTGGTCCAGCAAGGTCCACGTCGTGCGGACTCGTTTGTCGCAGGCGTGGTCCATCGTTCTCCAGACGGTGTGGCAGATCTGAGTTTGTCGAATCTGGTCTTCACACAATTGGCAAGTCCGCTCGTATACTTGCAGAATCTATTCGAGTGCTATCAGACGTGTGGTCGCCACGCGCCAAAAGCAGCTGGTGCATCTCATACTGCCACTTGGCCGCGATTGACTACACGGAGCTTGCGATACGTGCCGCCACAGCGGTGGCTCTTCTGGCAGCATACAAAGGTTTTGATAGACAATGAATCTAGCATCATGAAAGACCACTTTTGTCCCGTCCATGTGCTAAGGACATCTTGAACTTTGCCATTTCATCATTTGTACCGTAAAGTTCCTCCACATCCATGTAACCTGTTGACGAAGTGTCGTTTGACAGCGACAAGTTTTCAAGCCGCTTCATAAAACCATTTCGATCGCCACCGATGCATCTCGCGTTGACACTCTCGCTCGCCGCTGCTGCCACGACTGCCACGCACGTCCAAGTCGGTGAGCGTCCGTACTTTCTCGTCAACGAGATGCGCCCGAGCCCGCTCAAGACGCAGCTCGAGTCGTGCGCCGACATGGACTTCCAGCGCACCGAGTACTCGATCGGCCACCGCGGCGCGTGCCTCATGTTCCCCGAGCACTCGAAGGAGTCGTACCTCGCGGCGGCGCGCATGGGCGCCGGCATCATCGAGTGCGACGTCGGCTTCACCAAAGACCTCGAGCTCGTGTGCCGACACGACCAAGCCGACCTCCACACGTCGACCAACATCTTGATCACGCCGCTCGCGGCCAAGTGCACCAAGCCGTTCACGCCGTACGACCCGGTGACGGGCAAGGAAGCCTCGGCCGAGTGCCGCCTCACCGACATTACGCTGGCCGAGTTCAAGACGCTCAAGGCCAAGATGGACAGCTCCAACCCGAAAGCTACGACGGCCATGGAGTACGTCATGGCGACGCCCAGCTGGCGCACCGACTTGTACAACGGCCCGACGAGCGGTACCGTGATGAGCCACAAGGACTCGATCGCGCTCTTCAAGAGCCTCGGTGTCAAGATGACGCCCGAGCTCAAGGTGCCGGTCGTGCCCATGCCGTACAACAACTTTAGCATGGAAGCGTTTGCGCAAAAGATCGTCGACGAGTACGTGGCCGCGGGCGTCCCGTTCTCGGACGTCTTTGCGCAGACGGTCGACAAGGGTAGCATCCAGTACTGGCTCAAGGCGGCGCCGGCGTTTGGTCAGAACGCAGTGTTGCTCGACTTTGCCGACACGGTCAAGGAGCTCCCGACGGCCGCTGCGCTCACGCAGCTCAAGGCCGACGGCATCAACACGTACGCGCCGCCGATCTGGGCGCTTCTGGACAAGAAGGACGGCAAGTTTGTGCCGTCGCAGACCGCGCGCGATGCCAAGGCCGCCGGTCTCAAGCTCATCTCGTGGACGCTCGAGCGGTCGGGCGTCGTCGCCATCAGCCACGGCGGGTGGTACTACCAGACCGTCAACGACTTGGTGAACCGCGAAGGCGATGTGCTGGAGGCGCTGGACGTGCTCTTCCGCCAAGTGGGCATTAGCGGTTTGTTCTCCGACTGGCCGGCAACCGTCACATACTACGCCAACTGCGTCCTTGGCAAGAAGCCGCAGTGCTAGAATGTCGAATGGAGCGAAAAAATAAATAGGTTTGTGTGATTTTTGCAGATTTACTCTTGGTTGGAGTTTACCCAAACTGAGGCGGCCTATGGCAGATCACTAGGAGGGCTCAGGCCCATAGTCTCAAACTAGTAAACCGACCGGGTCGCTCGGCCTAGGCAGTGGCGATGAAGAAGGCGGGTATCACTTGATGGGGTTAGGGTAGGGATAGGGGAAGCGGCGCACCACCGTGCATCGGACGATACTGGCAAGTGACACGCCGTCTGCTTGTTGCACTATAGTTTTGTCATGTTTGGTCACACGTCGCGAGCTGCAGCGTAGTCGTCTCTTGAGCGTAAACGTGTGGGGTATAACTGATTGAGGACCATCGCCATGACAGCAACGTCCAGCGTCTTACGTCTTGAAGCTACACGGCGCGACGCCTCAGTGGTGTTGTATCTTTGTTGATAGCGTGGCGTTCTCGACCGACTCAGGGCGAAGAACGAACGACTCAGGTCGTTCGGATGCTAATGTCCATAGGACCGCGAAGCACGAGTCAACTTTGACAGGGCTTGCAGTTCTGTGTATACAGCTAACGTCCGCGAACTGGACGTAAAAGGTGGCCGACATCGTGCTGTCAATGTAGCAGTCGCTGGGCATTGACTTCGACCACGACCAGAAGCAAAAAATATAAACACAACAGCGACCAGTCGTGTTCTTAAACTAACGAAGCAGCTTGTAGCGCGCTGACTTCAATCAAGTCGAGAATGGTATTTTCAAAGCCCACGGTGTGTTTTTGGCTGAGTTCGATGAGGTATTCGCAAATGCTCGTTGCATCGACCGACGCGCTTGGCTGCATCACGAGCGGCGGCCTGGCCTTTCGAAAGTACTTGATCACGGTCTCGTGGCGCTCGCGCTCAATGAGCACCCACATGACTTCTTCGGAAATGCCGGCGGTTGCATCCAACGGCAGCACTTCGTCGTCGTGGACGTTGCGGCACACGATGATCCAGCGCGTCGGCGACTCGATGTAGCGTTTGGTGATGATGCGGCGCTGCATGCAGCCGAGCTTGAGATGCCGAAGGCTGCTCACATACGACGTGTGTGCATCGACGTTCGTGAGCTGCGTGTATGAGCCGGGCACATGGGCCATGGGCACCACGCCACGGAGGACGTCCCAGATCGCGGCAGCGGTCATGTCAAATGCGACCTGCCACCGCACGAGCACGATGGTCTGGAGCAGAACGATACCGCCTTCGATTCTCGGTACGTGCTCGCGTCGCGGCTCGACGGCGTCGTGCAGATGGGCTTCAACGAACGCGCTGTCGGTCTTGGCGTAGTCCCGGTCGACGATCGCATGGAACGCCTGTAGGCGCACGAGCGGGTCGGCCACGAGCTTGAACTGCTTCCACGCGTCGCTCGGGCTGTCGGCGTAGAGCTGGAGTCGCGGCTTCTTGTGCACAAGCTTGGCGAGCGACTCGGCAAACTGCACCTGCTCTTCGAGCGCGGCCTTGAGGCGGCGGTTCTCCTGCGACGCCTCGACTTGGCGCCGACGCTCGTCTTTGGCCAATCGCTCCCACCGGCTCGGCGGCGCCATGATCTCTTGCAGCACTTGCACTTGGTTGAGCTGCGAGAGCTGCGACTGGAGGTCGTCGACCGTGCGTTTGAGAAACGCGAGTTCCTCGGCCTGGCGCTTGCGGTGCGCTTGCAGCGAGAGGCGCTGCCGCTCCCGGAGCGATGGCGGCGCTGGCGCCGGCGTCTGCCCCATCATGGTCGCGAGTAGCTGCGCGTCGTCGACGCTAAAGTCGAGCCCGTCGAACGCCGTCTCGGTCCACGCTTCGTTCATGGTGGCAATTCGCTTGTGTCACAGGCCACGGTTATGAAAATTACCAGCCGGTTTGAAGTGGCCAGTCAAATGCGAGTTTGCCCTTTCGCTAAAAAGGCCGCCGGACGTTACGAGCACAGTTGGTGACCCAACGTGCTAGTATTTGAGCACTTTGACATGACATGGAGAACAACAATCGCAGGGGCTTGTGCCGTTGATAGCCTAGCGTGCTGAACGATAACGCAAACTAAAGTAATCATAAGCGAGGATTGCGTCGACAAAGCTGGTCCACTGATGATGACCCGGAGACGGTCAGCAACGAATCAAGTGCGGCGTGTCACGCATGACGCTGTAGTCATACCTTATAAACGCTAGTGTAGGATCCTTGGTGCTAGTCGGCGTGGACGGGATGACGTGGCCAGTGCATGACGCTGCCGCAGCAACCTTGACTCGCGAACCTTCGCAGTTCGGGAAGCTGAAGCTTCGTGTCGTCGGCCGGTTCTTTGTGCGAATGCTTGACAAGAGGCACTACGCCTTCGGTCGCGTTGGCGTCCGCAGGATACCCGCTAATGTACCCGAGCAATGGTGGTATGCCACGTATTACGGTGGACTTGAAGTGCGATGCACCAACTCGACGGCTGGGCCATAATGAGGCGCAGTAGGTGAGTGGCGACAGAGCGACTCGTCCACAATGGCTCGGTTCACGGTGAGTGAGCTCTGGTTGTGTGTCGCGTTGGCCATGCAGGCGGTTTGTTCATTCATATTGCAGCAGCTATCAACTAAAGTTCTGTTTGTTTAACGAGGTGCAGTAATAGTACATTACTAAACTCTCAAGCTGTGAATACGTTGTCTCGTTCACCGTGGCATCTCTCGCATCGAACGTTGTGCCACATATATATGGCACTCGTGGCTAGCTTTGGCTCGTGTCCTTGAGTGAACCGCCATTGATTGAGTACCGTCAAGAGCTCAGCATAGTCGCGATATCTAGTCTTTGTGGTGAATGACATGTTGTACATGTGTATGCCGCCGTCCACTCCAGTGTGACGAACCACTGGTGCCCCCTGGGTGTCCTCCTTCTTGGGACATCGTGGCAGCACCATGGAAATCCTGTAATACTACAATTTGATTGGCTTCTTTTTGTCCAATCGAACGCGTTTCATTCCCAAGCGAACGATGGACGTTGCAGGCCTCATCGACCAGCTCGTGGTCTGCCTCCATGGCAGCCCCAACCCCGCGCTGACGTCGCTCTCGCTGCGCATCCTCTCGAGCCGGCTCGGCAACGCCGGCCACCACAGCGCCAACGACATGGTACGATGGCGGTCCCGGCGAAGCTCCGCCCATGCGTGCCTCCTAGCTCAGCATCACGCAGAAGATCCAGCGCCACTTGTCCGAGATACCGATGACCTACGACCGTAGCCGCGCGCTTGACCGGTTCCAAGCACTCCAGCAGGACTTTCTCACGCATGCCATGCTGCACAAGAAGGCGGCGCTGCTCACGACGCTCCTCAAGCTCAGCCTCGACACGGACCCGGACGTCTCGACGCTGTATGTGCCCATGCCGCTGCCGTCGACCAAGCCCGCACCGCCTTTGGTACGCAAGTTGAACCCCTCGTTGCATGCATCAAGCGATCGTCGCATGTACAGATGTCGGACGCCCGGCCGACGAGCGCCGAACCGACCACCAAGCCCAAGCCCTCGGACGAAGCCGCCTTCCGCGCCTTCACCAAGCAGCACGACCAGTCGTGCGAGATCCCCGAGTCGGTGCTTTTAAAGGAAGTCCTTTATGCATTCCAGGGCATCGACTCCAAGTACATCTACTTCAACCCAGCGATCGAACGCTTCGAGGTCGCCCGGCACGTTGGCGTGCCCCTCCGTACACATATCTTCTTCCGTATGCATTTATTTCTCACGCGTCTTTAGCGATGCGCGACTTGATCCGCAAGCTCACTGAAGTCGGGTGGCTCTACTCGCGCCTCGCCAGCTTCATCGAGCGCCACAGCGATGTCGAGGCCAACGGCGTCGTATGCTCTTGTATCAATCGATCAAGTATTGTCGACCAATTTGCAATAGATTTGCCAGAGCTTTTGCCACGCGCTAAAGACCGAGCTCTCGGACTTTTACCGGCTCGTGGCCCTTCTCTCAGCGCAGGTCGACATGGACACGGACGCCACGACGACCAGCGCGCCGCATTTGACGCTCAAGCGGCTCTACGTCTGGACCCAAGACCCGTTAGATCGTCTCCGTGTGATGGCGTGCCTCGTCGACAGGTACAAAGTGCAAGGTATCGCCGACGATGACGACAATACTTTGGGTAGCGTCGACGGGCTCCGCGGTGGCGCCCTCGCAACCGGCATCCACATGTACATGGAGCACGGCGACCCGTTCGTCAAGAGTCTGATCCAGACGATCCTCAACCAAGTCGCGGCGCCGATTCTGAGCATGATTCAAAAATGGACGCTCGAAGGCGCGCTGGATGACGTTTATGTACACCATCTAGTGTCATATCGAGTATCGACGCGACCGCCGATCTTGTCTAGAACGAGTTTTTCGTGGCGGGCGACCCAACCGTGCAAGACGACCAGCTTTGGAGCCACAAGTACCACGTCGAGTACACGATGCTGCCGCATTTCATCTCCAAGTACGTCGACCTTTTGTCGGCAAATTGAATTTCGCATTTTGGAATGTAGGGACCTCGCCCACACCATCTTTGTCATTGGCAAAAGTCTCAATTTCATTCGCACGTGCTGTGGAGACACCGAGGTATAGGGTTAGCATGTGCGACACGATGTTTATACAAGATATGTCTAGTGGGTCCTGGAAACCGAGCTCCAGAACGACACGCTCACGTTCGAGCACTGGTCCGCTAGGGAATGATTCGACGCGTTATACAACTCCATGGATAGGATTGAATTTCAAGCGTGGATCGACCGTGCAGCGCGTGAGACGAACGCGTATGTGACAAAGATCCTCTTGGGCAAGTACCAGCTGCTTGACCACTGCCGCGCGCTCAAGCAGTACCTTCTCCTTGGTCAGGTACGCGATTTTGTGTGTGATTTTTGAGGCATTTTGCATGCATTTTTAATAGGGAGATTTCATCCAGTGCCTCATGGACCTCCTCGGGCCCGAGCTCTCGAAGCGCGCGTCGCAGCTGTACCGTCATAATTTGATGAACGTACTCGAGACGGCACTGAACGCGTCCAACGCCAAGTACGAGGTCCGTCGCCCGCATTTTCTCTGAAATGGATTGCTAACGATTTTTAACGGGATAGTCGGCCGAGATTTTGAGCCGCCTCGACGTCAAGCTGCACCAAGCCGCCGCTGGCGACGAAGGCTGGGACGTCTTTGCCTTGCACTACAAGCTCCAGCCGCCACTCAACACGGTGATCCAAGAGACAACCATGTCCGAGTACCTTCGCATGTTTTCGTTCCTCTTCCGCGTCAAGCGCGTCGAGCACTCGCTCACGTCGTGCTGGGGCCGCGACATGAACCTCCTCAACGACATCAGCGTACAACGATTCCCTCTCTTTAGTGCATGGTCTAGAACAGGTGGTGTAGAAGACGCTGCCGGAAGCGCGGGCCGTCATGCACCACTGCAACCTGCTTCGGTCCGAGATGATTCACTTTACGACAAATTTGCACAACTACATGATGTTTGAGGTAAATATCCCGATTTCTCAACCGAAAAATGAAGTTTACCTAAAATCTAGGTGCTCGAGACGTCGTGGCACACGCTGCTCAAGAACGTCAAGGCCGCGTCCGACCTCGACGAGCTCATTGCGGCTCATCATGCCTACTTGTATACGATCAAGAAGAACGTACGCCCATGTACCGTGGATGTATCCCGTCGAAGCTACCTTGTAGGCGTTTTTGATGGACGAGAGCAAGCCGATGCTGCTCCAGCTCAAGCTCATCTTTGATACGATCATTACGTTTTGCAAGCTCCAAGACTCGCTGTACACGTCGGCGATGCGGGAAGCGCACGTGCTCCGCCAACAAGCCAAGGACCGCCACGTACGCGCCAGCGCAATGCCATCACTCAAATGCAATTGTGGATAGGGCGACTGGGGCATCTCGGTGCACGACCGGTCGTCACCATCGGTGTTTGCGCCCACCTCGGCGTATGTGACGCAGATGCGCACGATTGCCACCGACTACAATGCGCACTTTCAATCGCTTCTCGAGATCCTCAAGAGCCACTCGATCGGGTACCTCATGTTGTGTACACAAGTGTCCTAATGACGTGCCAACTGTAGCTCTGAGAACCTCCCGTTTCTGACATTCCGCCTCGACTTTAACGAGTACTATGCGCGCAAGCGCGCGACCGATTAGAGCTTGAAAACACAATCGATACGTTGATACAAACTTGATACTTGGAGATGGGTGCGACCACAATAACGACGCGTAAAAATACATTGTATGGGCGAACCGGGCTATGGCGGCGCCACTTGGGGCGACGACCTTCAGATCTACAAGGTCCGGTCTTGTCTTGGAGCTTCTGGCACCGAGCTAGCGTAGGCCAAGAAGGCGGTCGTGCCGTGGCGCACTGAGGACCAACTGCCTGTCAAGCACGTGACGCGGTACGTGAAAGCCCGAGAAGAGCGCGAGTACGACCTCGTGCGGGCCGAGTACCGCGATGTCCAGCGTGTACGACCCACTACGATCGTAGTTGCAAGTGGTTTCTTATCGTATATTAGGAAGCGGCGACCAAGGACATGGAGATCAAGGCCCGCCTCGAGCACCTCATGGCGGCCAAGGTAGACAATGACATGATCGTATACATATAAGGATGATGGGGTATTAGGCCAAGCAGAGCAAATACGTTCAAAAACACAACTTGATCAACCACTACTGCGCCGAGAAGGATCCGCCGATCTCGACGAACCTGCCGCCCAACACGCGCGTCGGCTACAACATTGTGACCAACGTGGCGCTCACGACGCCGCCGAGCAAGGTGGTCAAGCCCGAGGATGCGTACAAGGGCAAGAAAATGGTCGAGTCGCCGCACATTTCCAGGCCGTTTAGCGTCATCAGCAACAAGTAGGCCAATGCTCTCTCTTCCATAAAGCATAGTGTGCGGCAGGTACCACACGGAGCACGAGACGCGTGCGCTGGCCGAAACCGAAGCCGCCAAAGCCAAAGCCATCGCCAAGTTCAACAAGACGCGCGACTTTGACCCGCTCCTCTCGCGCTACTACAATGCCGACAAAGAAGCGTCGTTTCTCGCTGCTCGGGACGCCTATGCCAAAGTCCGTCTCCTATGGTCCGTTCGTGCTTCACAGAATGATTAGGTGCACGGTGTGGGCCGCGACGATACACTGCCGTACGGCGAGCAGTACAGCGCTGGGCGTCTCTACAACATAATCAACCAAAAGATTCTGCGCCCGGAAAAGTACGCCAAGGTGACCAACGTGGTCAACCGCCGGCTCAACTGCATGAAGACCACGGTCCGCGGCTCCTCTGTCTTGGCCTGTGCCCATCGTTTGCTCTGTAGCAAGTCAACAAGGCGATTCAAGCACGGGCCTTCCAAGAGGAGGACCGCGCGCTGGATCTGCGCTTGAACCGGTCGACGCATGCGCGAAATAGCCAAGCCTACGTGCACGGGTTCGATCCCGTGACCAACCAGCCGTTCGAAGGCCGGTTGCGGAAGCCCAAGGTGCCACTGCGCACCAAATCGCATCCGACGCCGTGGGTGCGTCTCGAGGGTATGCGTCTCGTATGTACAAGTTGTCTATAAATGGGTGGACACACTAGGTCCATCAAGCAATCAAGTAACCGAGAATGCCTTGCCGCGCGTGGCTGAGCCCATGCCGTACTCGGGTGTCAACCAGATCCAGCCGGAAATCATGTTTGTTGAGCACGAGACGACGAATCTGCCGCGGCTCGGGTCATAGACACTACGTCCACAAGACGACAGTAATGGTGTAAATGCCACGCAAGTTGTCCTTCAACTTTCAATGCCGCGTGGTAGCAGCAACGGCGGGTTTCTCTTCCGTCCTCGGTGTCGAGCGCGTGTCCATTGGCTTTTGCTCATTCGTCGACGACGGCACGCTCGCACGCGCGTCTTTTTCTATATATTTTTTCTTTTTTAATGGTGTTCCGACCGAGGATCGAAGCGGGGGCCATACGTTGCCCTTCAATTTTCAATGCCGCGTTGGTAGCGAGTGCTTTCTATGGCCGTCCTATCTGTCACCACCTAGGGCTTGGATCGCGTGTCCGTCGACTCGAGGGTAGATGCGCATCTAGTATCATGTACCCTTGATTCACTGGACCTGGCTCCTCGACGTACATGACGCTTCAAGAGAGTCCTAAGCCGCGCAACACGCCATGCCTTCTGAAGACCCAAGCTATCTCTATTTACTCGTGTCGTAGCTTGTCGGGCTGCATGCAATGACGTCGCTCAGCCAAACGACAATATTCTCCACATGCGATAATATTAAAAAAATATATAAAATGGTTGTCAACAGCACCAACGCAAGACGCCGACTAGAGCCGAATGCCCTTGAAGCCCCAAATCTCGACGGCCCAAATCTTGAACATTTCGTCCGACCCGGCGAGCGGGGGGTTTCTGAACGTTGTGCACTGCTGGGAAAAGCCGCGCTCGTCTTCCATGTGCAGGCAGAGCGCAAGGCCTTTCGGGCCGCCGCCCCACACGAGGCAGTCGGGCCCGTTGTACATGAACGCACTGTCGCCGCCCGACCACGCGTACACGCGCGGCTTCTTGCCCCGCGCGCAGCTAAAGACAAAGGTGCGGCCGTTGCCATACACTTTTCTGGTTTGCTGGAGCGAGCACGAGGAGAATGCTAGACAGAGGGTCGTCAGCATGCGCAAGAAGGCAGCGTCTACCTCCAAAGACGCGGTCGCACGTGTCCTTGACGACACAAATCGTCGGGCCTCGCCCAGCCACAAGCGCAAACAGTTGCAAGAGGCTAAAGCCGTGGATCTGCGTACTGTAGAGGAGCTGGAGGCTCGTGTCTTGCAGATGGAACGGCAACGCGTCGCGTAGACACTCGACGTGGTTGACCTTGAGGATCTCGGACCGTGGGTGCAGCTGCAGCCAGCCGTTCTTGCTCAGCTTGCGCGCTTCGTTCTGCCAGTGTTGGACGTCATAGAGTGGCGCCTTGTGGACAGGGCTCAGCGCCGCACTGTGCAGCTTGTACTCGCGCGAGTGCGGAAACATCGCATGCACCGTCGAGCCCGACGCGACCGGCTTGGGCGACGCTGCGATCGTCGTCAAGTAGCTCTGGAAGAGCTCGGGGTGCCGGAACGTCATGGTCAGCGGCGCCGGCGTCACCTACATGATTTGGTGACAAGAAAGATCAAGCGCAGGTTGCGACATGTCTACTTGAAGATAGCGGTCGAGCTGGTCGATGGACCACGCCGTGCACGGTTCGTTGTTGATCTCGAGAAGGACGTCGCCGGCTCGAAGCGTCGGAAAGTGCGCTTCCGGGTCCAAGATCTCGACCGTGCCGTAAATGCGAGTCGACGGCGCCAGCGCCATCTGCAGTGGCTTGGACGGAATCGTAATGGTCACTTCGCCGAGCTCGTCGCGATCTACGAAAGGCGTGAATATGAATATGCTGCCGGAGGAGGATCATGATGATCCTGGGTGTAGGTGGGACGTGGTCGTACCTGTAGGGGGATCGCTCTCGTCGAGGTCGTCGCGGGCCATGACCTACGCATCCGATGCAGCGTCAGCAACCAGCCCCGTCGAAATACGAGCATGTACATGTCGCCACTGGTCGGCCGAGACGCGCGTGTTCCACGACTTTTGCTGGCGGCCATGCGGCGTGCCATTGCTGTATTCGTACGACTGCGGGAAGAGCGCCGTCGACGTCGAGTGCGAGTCGCAGTGCCCGTAGAGCTTGGGCTTGCGAAATGTGATTGTCAGCGGCACCTTGGTCTTGGCGAGGAGGCGGCGAAAGGCGTCGTTCGAGAGGCTTGTGACCGACCGGTCGTCGTTGACCGCCATCAAGACGTCGCCCTTCTCAAGGCCCAGCGGCGCGGTCGGCGGCACCGAGCTCACTTCCCATGTACCGTACAGCTGCGTCGACGGCACGAGGCCAATGCCGAGCGGCTTCTTCTCAAACGACAAGGTGATCTCGGCGCCTTGCGGCGACAAGTCGAGGTTCATGCTCGGGCGGTGCGACGATGGCGGCGACGGCGTCGTCGGGAGCGGCGGAAGCGGCGGGAGCGGCGGAAGCGGCGAAGGTCCAAAGAGGGCGCTGCCGAAGAGCGCGCGGCCATGGCGGGCGACGAGCTCCATGCTTGTAGTTAGTTGTCTTTGCACTTGAAGATTCGTTGGAATATGACCCGTTTAAGCACCGACTAAAAAGTAGCCAATCACAATTCGCCGGGCCCGCGGCCTTTTGCGAGATTGCACTTGAATAGTGAGAAGCGGTAAACAGGACTGGCCGCAAGCTGTGGCGTTGCCAGAGTCACGCAACAGGCAGGTGGAGGCACAGGCTGTGACGCTCCTACGTCGACGACGCTATGGCCGCTGATTGGCCAGCATGGACGCCGATGGCGGCTTTTTTGACGCCGGTCCCGTGGCCGAGAGACACCGAGTGGCCAAGTCCCACTCGAAACGACGCCACGTATCTTCGGCGCTCCACAAAGTCATCAAGAACTAAGATCTCATTGCCCTACAATGTCATAAAACGACTTTGCATTGGCCACCTCGTGACCTCGGGACCTCGCAACCTTGGGTCGAGTCGAAGTATGAGTCCACGCCCGACGTCTAACGACCAACAACACGCATGTCAACAGGTGCGACTAACGCGTGAGGTCAACAGAGTGGGCTGCAACCTTGGCGTAACTCGACCCCGTGTCTTTGCCGACCAAGACGGTAATCGTCGTACAGGCGCGGCGGCCGAGCAAAATTTGCCGTCTTGCCGACTGAAAAAGGGAGCCGACGATGTGGTTACCTTCGGGATTACAATGGTCGAATGGTCTTGATCTATTGGAGCGTCGCACGCGTTTTCTTGGGTGCGCAATCCTTTTAGTACAAAATATGGCGCCAACGATTCCCATATTTTGTGTTTTCAGCACCAACTACTGTATGGGAATGTTGGTGGATCGTCAAGTATGTCCTAGTCTAGTCGCTTCGCGTGCTTCGGGCGATTTACCATATCGTCACAAACGTCGTGCACAATACGTGCGTGTCGGACCACATTTTAGCCATCCCAATAAAATAGACTTCGAGAGGGACAAGCCCGTTCGGAGCGGCAGAACGTTCACGCGTCGTTCTTGTCCCGCCGCCGAAGCGTAGCGAGGTGTGCGAAATCAAATGCTAGAAATACCAGAACGGTTTCCACATGTGGAAGAGACTGGTACGATTCGACTTGCATTTGCGGATCTTCAAGCCGTGGCTACGCCACCTTGAAGTCTGGCGGAGCAGTGTGGCGTGCACGTACGACAAGGGCGCCGGCATAAAAACAGCGCGCAACCTAGGATTGCAAGCGCGTGACCAACGTAGACGTGCCAAGGTGCCAGTGCGACCAATATTTCCCGCCACGAATAACCGCTCCTTCGCAGGCACATGTCCCAAGGCTTTGCCGATCTTCGAACGTCGAACTGTTGGCGATTGCTGAGAAGATGAATTTACTGCATAGCGAACCTCTGCCCAATGCGCCTCCCCAATGGCTCCTGCATGTACACATCACGAAGAACACGCTTCAGGACCAAGAAGCAAGCGCGAGCGACTTGTTGTTTAGCTCATTTTTTCATTACGACTTCGGCAGTCGTCGTCGCGTCCACGATAGCAATGCGAGTCTAATACTTTAATTCTGGTGGTGGATTCGTGACATTCGAAACCCGGATTAACGTTACAGTAAATTTCGAATACAGACTGACCAAACCAGAGGCGCGTCGCGATTCGCTAAGGCAACTTCAAGCAAAACCGGCTGTCTGCGACCACCTGCACTGATCGGACGGTGGCGATTCGACTTCACTTTCCGATTTGCTCCGTGAGTGCGCATCCAAATCCACTCGTCCTCTCCTGCACCATGGACCGCTACCAGGTCGCCACGATCCTCGCGCCCGCGCAAGGCGGCGACATCCTCCTCTGCCGCCACAAAGCCAGCCACGTCCCGTACGTGATCAAGCGCATCGCGCGCACGCCATCGACCAAGGACAACATTGCCATGGAGCTCCACGCGTACTCGCTGCTCCACGACCGCGAGACGCACCTTCTCGGCGCCGACCACGTTCTCCAGATGGCCGAGGTCTTTGAAGAAAAAAAGCAAGTGCACTTGGTGCTCGAGTATTGCGCGCGCGGCGAGTTTTACAATCTGCTGAAAGCGCAGCCGCATGCGCGCTGCGAGGCGTCCGAGGCCCAGGGCTACTTTGGCCAAATCGCCCAAGGTCTCTACTACATGCACGACCACGGCGTCGCGCACCGCGATCTTTCGCTCGAAAACATCTTTGTCGACGGCAACGGCGCGCTCAAGATCGGCGACTTTGGCCTCGCAGTCTCGTTTCCAAGTGTCGCGGCCAAAGCCTGCGGCAAGCTCTACTACATGGCGCCCGAAATGCACACGCACCCGGACGGGTACGACCCGAGCAAGGTCGACTTGTGGTCGCTCGGTATCGTGCTCTGGATGCTGCTCACGGGTCTTCCGCTTGTGAGCAACTCGAGTATTGGCGACGAGACGTTTTTGTACCTCCAGCGCCACGGCCTGCGCGCGCTCGTGCGTGCGTGGCAGTTGACCTCACTTGTGCCGGACGATGCGCTCGACTTGCTCGAGCGCCTGCTTGTCGCGGACCCGGCCAAGAGACTGAGCATGCCAGGTGTCTTGAAACACCGCTACTGCGCTGCGACGTCGGTCGCGTAGCTGCATGTGTCGCGTCTATTTATTATTTAATACAAACTTACATCAACATCCTCGCGAGTGTGTCACTTTGGGAAGAAAGATCTTGGCGCCAAGCCGAGAGCTGCTTGCGATGCAAGGTTGCGTCCAAATAGCGAGGCTCCGAGCGTTCAACGCGTCGTCGCTTCGTATGGACAACAATAATTGCTGGCGCTCAGCTCTGTAGCCCAGTACACAGTGGACTAGCGCGGTACGAGGACTCGACTTCCTCAGCGGAAAGCCTCTGGCAAGGGTAACGTTAACGTTACCTTACATTGGCTGGCATGAGATGATGTTCCAGCCAGTTCGAGCCCATCATTGAGCAGTGCCGAGTATGATATCGAGCTTGGTTTCGTCCAACGGCGCACTCGTGTCGCTTGTCTCGATACCTGGTAGTCAGCAGCGCGAGTGGCGCGGGCAAGCTTGCCTTGCCTTGATGGTCAGCGACTCGAACGACGTCGGGGAAGTACAGCTCTCGCCCGACGCTATTGCTGTCCCCAAGCGACAACGAATGTCCGACGCGGCTGCTGCGCCACTCCAATGGTCGCGCATCGAACACTCCACGACAATCAACGAGACCGACTACCTCTGCTTCTGCCTCTACTCAAGGACATCGGACGAGAGCTGCCCGAGGTGCGTTGGCGTATCCGGATTTCCTGTAGTTATCCGGATGCTGGCGAGTGCCATGACATCGGCAGTGATCACTGACAGTTACACATATCTCGTGCCTTTGAAACCGTCAGAAAAGGAAATCTCGTGAAAGGCAGTAGGTTCAGACTCCAAGGCACCGTGCGACGATCGCAGGCTTTGTGCGTTCGCGATATCTCGTACTCGACACTCTCGGTACGAATATTGCATGACATCGTGGCTGCGTGCACTGGCCGTGCATGCACGGGTACGCACGGTATATTTTCGGTTTTAAAAGGTGCGCGAATTTGGTATACTGCCGATGGGGTTGTGTATCAAACGAGCGCGCCTACGGTTGATCGTGATCACCGCCAAGAATAGGGCGCCATCATCGAAGGATCGAGCACAGCTTTGTTGGGCAGAGATCGCCACGTGTCTTGGCGTGATCTGGAACATCGCGCAATTACGCGGTGCGATGCTTGGTCCAACAGCAATGCTTCGTGTGCTCAAAGCACGGACAATGAGCCCCTTCGCGATTGGCTGCAAGCGGCACTCTGCGGCAGAATGCCTTGAAACCGCCACGAGAAGAACCGTCGATTGCGGTACGTGAGACTATACTTACGCCCCAAAACACCTTTGCACAGTGATCACTGTATGGGTTGCATGCTTCCCATCGTCTGCTTTTGCGCTCCAGCAATACATGCAAGGTATGACATCGTGGATGACCTGAACCATTGCAGGACCTTACGTGCGCCTCGTTGGCTACCGGGAGGGTGGGAGGGTAGGAGATAGTACTGAATTACGAACCAAGCAGCGTGTCGTCCGACAAATTGTACGCCTCGCTCATTCATTGGTCCTCGCTTAAATCGCTGCGGCTTGTGATTGGTAAAGTAACCGTCTCGTTGCGGGACGTGCAACCGCGGGGTCGCGCCTTCT